AAGTCTGTGCCATGCCACTGAGGATGTGAGCTGCTTCCTACTGGGGAGGGCCGGGCAACTGGGCTATAGATAGACCTGCTGCTGGCTAGTGTCTCAGTTCATCTTGACATTGAGGGCATTTCCCCATTGGGGTTTTTATTGCAGAAAGTGAACATATTCAAACTCGGATATAAATCTTCAGTGATGATACTGAAGAATTTGGGGGACTCTCCTTTTATAAAGTTGAGTAGAATATCCTGAAACGACAAGGCATTCTTAGGAACACCTATGGCTACTACAATAAAAAGACAGAAAGAGAGTTTTGACTGTGTTAATTTTTCAGTTGCTAATTTTTCAAATGCAATAGCTGTCTCCTGCCATGTTATTTATTTCTAAGAGGTTTTGAAATAGCAAAAACAAATTCAAGAAGCACATGTTCATTAGATAACATGCTAATTGAGACTTAACCAACTTGGATTCACTTACCAAAAGTACTTTGCTTACATTGGGTGTATAACTATTCATTTATGCTTTTATTAAGCATCAACCTCATTTAAAATAGTGAGGAGTAGTGGAAAGTTCTGTGTGATGGTCGGATGAATGTGAGTGTTTTTTTGTGCATTTAGAGCTTCAGTTTTCTCATTTGTTTCAAAGAAATGGAAACATACAGGATGGTGGATGGAGAGGATCCAATGACGTATATAAAAGTACTTGGACCAGCCTTTCAACTAGAGGAAGCCTTCAGTTAATATTAGTCCTCCTTTTCTTTTCGGGAACTGAGATTCCATATATGGTTACTATGTTTTATCAGCAAATACCAAAGGGGACTTTTTATTCTTTCTCTGCATGTGACCCCTCTTTGCTGGTCCCTCTTATTCTCAGAGTGTCCCCTGGTTTTCACCAGGATCAAGTGTATCTTGTTGTGTGGTGATTTATACGGTGAGCAAGTGATGTGGTTTTCTCAAAAGTTTACATGAGACAGTTCAGTACTTGCCTGCTTGTCTCAAGGAAGACATCTGCGAGACTTGCGTTCTTAGGACGTTTGCGAAGAACACTCCATCGCACCTTCTCCTGAACCCAGCATGGCCTCTGCTTCCTGGCAGCCCTCCCGCCCGCCGCTAGCAGTGCACGTTCAAGGGGTATTTCTAATGTTTCCCATAAGTCTGCTGGTCCTCTTGCCACCATTGCTTTTATGATGGTGAATTAGTAGCTTTACAGTTTCATATATTATCTTTTCATTGATGTAAGTTTTTCTTCTTAATTTATCTAGTGATCTGCTTGCTTGGTGTCCTCAATATTTTCCCTTAAAAAAAGCAAGGGGTTAGCCTGGCCAGTGTGGCTCAGTGGTTGAGCGTCGACCCATGCACCAAGAGATTGCTGGTTCGATTCCGGTCAGGGCACATGCCCAGGTTGTGGGCCCGATCCCCAGTGCGGGGCATGCAGGACGCAGCCAGTCGATGTTCTCTCTCATCGATGTTTCTATCTCTCTCCCTCTCCCTTCCTCTCTCTCTAAAATCAATAAAAGAAAGAAAGAGAAAAAAAAGCAAGGGGTTTGTCACATACCACGTTGCTTCTCCTTGTGCATCTAGTGAAGGATCCCTTCAGTTTTCTATGAAAATTTATGTGTAATGAATTCTCTTTTTAGTGACAAGTTTCCTATCACTCATCCCTTTCATAAGGCTACTCTTCATATAATGGCAGGGACATTCTACACTTTTGTTGTTGTCTTTGCTAGATCATTTCTCCTCTGTCTCTAGTACATTCAGTTTGTGTTGCTGGTACAGTGCATACCTCCTGAAGTGGTGATTGTCTGTTTATCTGCCCCTCGAACCCTGGAGGCTGTGAGTTCCTGAATCCAGGGACTATATCTTATATTCTATTTATCTTAAAAAATTTTTTTCTTTACTGATTTTAGAGAGAGAGGAAGTGAGAGGGAGAGAGAGATAGAAACATCGATGAGAGAGAACATTGATTGACTGCCTCCTTATGCTCCCCACAGGGCATTGGGCCCACAACCTGGGTATGTGCCCTGACTGGGAATGGACCTGGTGACCTCTTGGTGCGTGGGTTGACGCTCAACCACTGAGCCACATTGGCCGGGCTATATTCTATTCATCTTTGCATCCCTGTTACATAACAGCACCTTGCACATGGATGGTACTTGAATCCTGAGTGAATTTATTCTATGGGGATTTGTTCTCACTTTGTGTATGTTCAAAGATCTAAACATTTGTTTCGGGCTATAACTTAATGTTTGGGGCTCTATTCATCATATTTGGGACTTAGTTCGTCCAGTTGTTATTGGAGTGTGCAGTTGCATCCTTTGCCAACACTGAGTTTTGTGATCTCCTTCAATGTGCTGCTGTATTTCAGTAGATTTTGTATTAGCATGTGGCTTATACATTTTCACTAATTACTAAAGGTATTGAACAAAGAATCCTTTGGGACATGTACCCACTTCTACACTTAACTTCTAGAGAATTCTGTTCCATCATTTCCTATTTGCTGTTTTTGTGTCTGCTCCATCCAGAAGTCTCTAAGTTTGGTTCAGAGATCACATTACTGGCGTAGGAGTGTTAGCTGTGTGCCAGGTGAGAAAGGCGCACAGTCATGGTAGGTAGGATAGTGCCGTACTGCTGTAGGCGTGCGCAGAGGCTGCGGGAGGAGCCCAGAGGAGGAGCACCTCGTGTTGACCTGTAGGGGAGTAAAGGCTGGGGAGGTGGTCAGGGAGGAGACCTAAGATATACATGGAGATCAGCAGACGAAGGGGAGAGTGGGCTTTCTGTCAGAGAAGAGTGAAGAACAGGTAAAGGGTTGAAGGGCAGTTTGCTCTGATGGGGGAGGGGGGGATTGCTGGAGTTGGAATGCAGAGTGATGACACCGAGCACTGACACGGATCAGCGCCCAGCTCAGTGGCCTTGAAGGCCAGGGTAGTAAATGCCCAGACTTCATCCTGTAAAGCAGCCTTTGTATCAGCACTTTGCCTACGTGTTTTGATTTCTGGCCAAGATTCCTGTAATGTAGTGGTTAAGGTCATGGCCTTTGGAGCCAGGCTGCCTGGTTTGAGTCCTGGCTCTGCCACTTAATTGCTGTGTGACTTTGAGAAATTGCTCAGTTTCCTCCTCACTAATGCAGAGATGACAGAAGTACCTTCTTCATTAAAATTCTTACCGAGATTAAATGAGCTCATATTCTATGATGCAGAGAATGGCAGCTGGCACGGGGTGTGTGTTTGTTAAACTAAAATGCATTGTTATGGCTAGATAGACTGTCACATTCGGAGAAGTCTCTACTACGCCCCCCGGAAATTAGTCAGCACCTTGCTGAATACTGAACTTTCTTTTGATAACCAGGGTACCATTTTACAATGGTAAAACCTTCACTTAAATTTATTGGGGTATCATTGGTTAATAACATTATATAAATTTCAGGTGTACAATTCTGTGATATTGCATCAGATGCTCACCAATTAAGTTTATTTGTTTTGGGGACTGTCTTTGTGTTTATTGTTCTTTTAAAAAAGCTTTTGAAGAAACAAAGTGACTTTATTTACTCACTTTTTTCCCCTTTGACCCGAAGGAATATGGATTTTCTTAGAAATTGTAAGCACCAGGCTTCAGGGGGCAGGGGCTAATGAGAAGGAAGGACAGGCTGGAAGCTGCTGGTGATGGTGTTGAGTCTTTCCGTCTGCCACACAGGGAGGATGGAGGGGGGAGTCTTAGAAATGTTTGCTTCCTAAGGTTCCTGAGCCATTAATTTAATGCAGTCTAACACAGAAGAGACCGTACTTTCTGCTGCTTAGATTCTGGAAGTAATGGTCCTCGGCATCTTAGCGCATCCACAGATTTTGAAATGAATTCATCTTACTGTTATTTCGAAGTATCTCCCCTGTCAACAATTGACTTGGCTGTTATAGTCCCTATTTGGAAAATATTTGGAAAATATTCCACAAACACTAGCTTCCGGGCCCCTCAAGGAGTTGCCAGTCTTATCCCATTTGAGTATTCTGGAATCCGATACCATCCATCTTTGACAACAGGCTCGTTTAAGATTCTCCTGAAGCTGCCTTTGCTGCTAGCTGACTATATAGACTGGAACGCTGCTGGCTTTAAAACATTTGTTTTTGTTTTAGGAGATGGATTTTTTTTTTTTAACTATGTCTATTAGGATTATTTTGGCAAGTAAATTTTTAAAAATATTCCCTTTCTCATAAACAGAATATTGGAAAGCCTAGCGAATCACATTTTTTTGTTATCCAAATAGACACATTTGATAGGATCCAATATGAAACTAAACAGAAGCCATTAATCGCGTCTTAAAATGATTTCTTACAAAAGTATTCCTCTTGAATTCTTGATTTCTCTGTTTTCTGAGTTTCCTTTCCCTTTGGATGGGGCTGCTCTGTAATTAGTGAAGTTACATGTCTGTCTTTAGGCAATGGCCTAATCTCTGTGGCCACATGTGCAAAAGCAATATAATTACAATGTAGTATTAATTGGACCATGTGACTGTTTTTGCTTTAATTATTTGAAATCATCTTATCTTTTCATTCCTTAAAGCATGTTAATGGGCGAATCCTTGGTATCATGTTTAGGCTGTTTTTATGGAGTTGAATATGTGCACATTTACATAAACTTGATAAAATATTTTGCTTTTTAAAAAAATGGTATGGATAGATTATTTTCTGTCTCAAACATTAATGTAGACCCAAGGAAATAAAATATCATAAAGAACTGAGTCTTTACATCTTGCTTAATTTATAGAATGCAGATTGGATTGTGGCTCCCTTTCGCTGAGGAGGCATCCCTCTGGGTGACATGATGGGTTGTTAGAAATGTTCCGATGTACTTCCTGGTAAACGAGAGAGTTCCCCACTCTATGCACGCTCTGTTTAAGTAGTTTAGTAGGCAATTTAGTGATGGGGGTTCCCACTTTTAGTAAATGCAAGTGCTTGGCAGACTGCATGTAGAAAGTGGCATTTATCTGCGCTTGGATTTTAACTCTGTCTCCCTATTTTTCAGTTGTTTTTATTTCAGTTGCTGCGAGGGCTGTCTTACATCCACCAGCGTTACATTTTGCACAGAGACCTGAAACCACAGAACCTTCTGATCAGTGACACGGGGGAGTTAAAGCTGGCAGATTTCGGTAGGAAAGCAGTTAATTACCAGTCTATTTTGTCACACTGTGCGAATGCCAGGCAGATGGTGGCCCTGCGTTTGTTTAGGTGTTCTTCTATCATTATAGATCATGGGAAAATGTTTTCAGGAATGAAGCAAATTTTTTTTTAATAATCGACATCATGCTTGGTGGATTTTTAAACATTCCACACTGCTTGTTACAGTCTTAAGTAATTATAAGCATAAATCACAACTCATGTATTTCCAAAGGAAAAGTCAGTAACATTTTGAACATAAAATATATTGAAAGAAATCTAATTTTTTTTGTCACTTTTTATTATGAAAATGTCAAACTCATTTCAAAGTAGGAGATCGGTGTAAGGAATTCCCATTACTCATCACCGAGCTGCAACAAACCACTGAGGTTTTCATAATTTAAAAATCTAGGGGCAGTGTTGACCTTTTTGGAAGTGACTGTTGTTTTAAGAATTCTCAATAATCTTATAAAAGTTGACTCAGATTCTGATTGGAAAGTTGAGGTCCTGGACTGGACCCATGTGAAGCCGTGTCTTCCTCAGACGTGTTACGGTGGGCATCTCCCCGCATAGAAGCGGGCGTCCCAGCACTGTCCCGAGACCCAGAGAGCAGCAGAGAGGCTGCACCGGCCTCGCTGGGACCTCGCTGGCCCCCCTCCCTGCTCCCAGCCTGGCAGCTCTGCCCCGCCCCGGCTGTCACAGCAGAGCCTGCGAGTCGGTGCCTGGCCCAGGGAATGCTGACGGCAGCAGGATGTGTTGACATCGCGTTGCCTCAATTATTTCTGAATACATATTCTGATTAGAAATGTGTTCCATTAAGAGTGGAATGGAAATATTACCCTTGGGACGTAAAGACGCCTGAGGTGGAGATATGGGCTTTTGCTGAGATACGATTATATTTTATCTCCCCACCCCCACTCCTCCTGATAAATAAAAGCAAGCCGGCAATGTTTATTTCTTATTTCAAGGTTAGTAGACTGTTCAGTGTCTTTGGAATCGACCCTGTTGAGTGTCGTATATTTGTTTCTTCCAAATTTGAAATACAATAAAAATTAGCATTTGTATTTTGCAAAACTTTGTTATTGTCCTCATGTAGTTTGGTAAATAGGATGACTGATACTCATGTTGCAGATTTTAGTATCAGAATAATACTAGGTCTTTCTATTACAGGGTAGAAAATAATGGGAGAGTAGGTTATTGTATTTGCTGTGAGCATATTTGTAGTTTGTCAGTATCAGTAAATTAATAAGGATTTACAGTGATTTTCTTCTGGTGTGTTAATATACTGTAAGGTATATGTTGGAACAAATTATTGTATTAAATATTCAATGTTATTGAGCATGGTTATCTTACATATTTTTAAAATACATTTTTACAAAGTTCATTTTGTCTGTATAACCAAGGGTACAATAGAATTGTATATAGATGTTTACTGAGGGTTCTTTTTAAATTTTATAATAACATATTTACTGTAACAGTTAAGTTTATTTTATTCTTTCCTAATCCTCACCCAAGGCTATTTTTTCCATTGATTTTTAGAGACAGCGGAAGGGAGAGAGGAAAAGAGAAGGAGAAACATCGATGTGAGAGAAACACATTGGTTGGTTGTCTCCTGCACATGTTAGGACTCGAACCCGCAATCCTTCCATCTGCAGGCCAACACTAACCACTGATCCACCCTAGTCAGGGCCAGTTAACTTTATTTTAAAAGGTTCTTATGGATCTTTAAAATGTATCTTTTATAATATCAGATTCAGAAATAAATTGTCATGTAATTTTAAACAACTTAGAAAGTTTTAAAGAAAATTTGGAAGTATAAACAACTCAGAGAAAACAAATACTAACATTTTTGTTGCGTATTTTCAATGTGCCTTTCTCCTCCTCTCTCTCTTTTCTTGCTGCTTCCACCTATTATAAATCCTCAAAAACCAAACTGATTGTTTTGTACATCATTTTCACATGAGACGATGTTATGAACTCTCTCATTTCATCAAATGTGAAAAATTCTTTTGAAACAGCTTAGAGTTTCCCCTTAATGGCCAGAGCTCAGTCTCTTTTTTTTTTTATCCTCACCTGAGGACATTTTTGCATTTATCTTCAGATAGAGCAGGAGGGAGAGAGGGAGGAAGAGAGAGAGATACATCAATGCAAGAGAGGCACATCGACTGGTTGCCACCCATACGACCCCAACTGGGGCTGGGGACAAACTGCAACCAAGGTACGTGGCCTTAGCGGGAATTGAACCTGGGTCTCTCTGGTCCGTGGGCCAACGTTCTAACCACTGAGCAAAACCAGCCAGGGCAGAGCTCAGTCTCTTTATCCCATCCCTTATCAGCTAAAACTCTAGTGCTTTCTAATTACCACGAGGAACAGTTCCGCGTGGAACACCCTTGCAGTGAAAGCTGTATATGCACAGGTGCAGCGCCGAGTGTGGTACAGCGTACTGCTCTGCACACCAGGCTGCCCTACAGGGAGGTGGGCGCCACACCCGCCCCTCAGTGTCAGCCACTGGGCCATCTACCGGGAACGCACACTTGGCGTGCATCCTATGCACGAGGTGTAATGAGCCAGATTCATTCACCAACTGACAATTTCCCCCAATTAATTGTGCATTATTTTTATCTTTTAATTTAAGACATGCAATTAACTGTGATTTACTGCACTCGGGCACGTGTTTGTGTTTGAGATGAAGGAAACGCAGTGCAGACTGTGGAGAAACCAGGCCGTCAAAGTGGGGTGATGCCAGGCAGCAGAACAATCAGAAAATTAGGTCTTAATTCAGAGTTTGATGTATGAAGAGCTTTAGAAACGGTTTCTTTGTCCTACCTCCTTCTTGTATGTGAAAATGCCACGAGATTTTCATCGAAGTAGACAAATGAAATCTGTATGCTTATTGTTCCCATACTGTAAATGTAACTGCCTTTATTAGAAAAATATATTGGGGAAACGGGAGAAACACACTGAACTTCATTGAGTGTATTCTCTGTGCCAAGCACTTAGATACTTTTGTTTCATTGTCTCAACTTCATAAGGTATAGTAACCTATATTTTTGAGAGAAGCGTGGGATTCGGAGAGGATTAAGATATTGCCGCAGCTTGATCACGCAGGTCGGTGGTCACAAAGCTGGAACTCAGGTACTTGATCCGTCTCCTTCCATCTTAGGTGGCCCAGGGTCTTTGCATTTATGCACATAGACATGCTACCTTACAGAGCTGCCTAATTTCTAGTAAATCATTGATCATTAATGAAATATATATATATATATATATATATATATATATATGCAGTTTTCTACATACAACACACAACATGCTATGAAAATAAATTGTACTAATACAAAAAAATGCATCACTTAATGGAAAAACATTTTATCATTTGACAAATTTAATAGTGAAGAGTGAATTTAACCTTAGTACTTGGAGATTTTACCTGCTGGCCAAGGTAAACCACATGATAAACGTTTCTTGACCTGAGCAGGTTTAAACAAAGGGCATTTCTGAATTCCAGGTGGTCAGAATGCTGTAACTGTTTTTTTTTTCCTTGTGAGCAAAGTCATATTTAAGCACTTACCTGAGGCTTGTTTTCTATTCACAGTTTGAAAAAGTAAGTTAGACATGACTTAGAGTCACTATGGCTTTCCTGATGCAGAAACCTCATCGGGTTTCTGCCTGTATATAATAAAATTAAGCAGAGGCCTGCAGACTCATTTCTAAAGAGGGGTTCATCTTTATCTTTGAGGAAAGAACATTTCAATTCTCTTACCCAGCCTATGTCTTCAGCACCTTGGTCCTTCTTCCGACTGTGGTACAATCAAACCCAAATTCAGTCCCATGTCGGAGCCTCTTAGCCTCCCCTTTGCCTGGAATGTTCTTCCTCCTGCATTTCACTGTGGCTGTCACTTTCTCATCATACAGATCGTCGATCAGGTGTCACCACCAAAAATCAAAGTATTCCCATTCCTGTCATTCAGTTTAACTTCTTCATTAGCACTTACCGAGCATTGAAATGATTTTGTTCATTTTTTTTTTTTTATTCTGCTATGTGTGAGTTTCTTGGAGACAGGTACTTGGCCTTTCTTGCTCAGTCTTTCTTGTCTGTGCTATGTCTAGAACATAGTAGGTGCTCAGTAAATATTGGTTGAATGAATAAAAAAAGATGCATGACTACAATGAGGTTTAGTGTAAAGACTGAAGGGCCACATGGATTTACTAGTTTCTGCTTGACTTATTTTGGGAAACCAGCAGTTTACAAATTAATGTTCTCTTTATCAGTGCTGTCCTAGCTGAGCACAGTCAAGAGTGTAAATGAAACTGGATGGTTTTCGATAGGGTCGGCGCCCTGGGATTGCTTCGAGGCTCTTACACGTAGGCTCTACATATCTCTTTGATGTTTACTGTGTTTGTAACCTCAGGCTGCAGAAATAAAGGTCACTGAGTGAATGTAAACATGCACAAAAGCTGTGTAAGATCTGAAGCTCCTACTCTGCAGACCTTTAATGATTGTCTAATTGTACCGTTGTTGAGAACAAAGTGTGTTGAGCATTGAATTAGGAGACCCAGTTCTGTCTATAACTAGCCTGTGACATATAAGAGGTCATTTATTCCCTCTAAGCCTTAGGCTTCTTGACTGAAAAATAAGAGCATTGAACCAATACTGTCTAAGATCCTTTTCAGTGCTGGTTTTTTATGTTGCACATTTCTGAAATTTTTAACTCATTTTCTAATGACCAGATATTTGCTGGCAGATAAAAATCAGTCTATTGAGCTTGGAATCAATGCTTTACCCTCTCTTCCTAGAATCTAATTTTTTATTCTAGCTTCTGGAGATTCAAATAGATGAGAGTGACGCTTTTGTGATACACATTGAGATCACATTAAAAGAAAATTATCTAAGTATGACAAGCTAAATGCATAAATTCACCGAGAAATTAATGTTCATTTGCAGTGCGAAGTATGAAAACTTAAAGGTATTTTTTTCCTGTAAATGAAATGA